TTTATTTAAAAAGTTTTTTTAAATATAATAATTTTTTATAAGGCAGGAGATCCTTTTTATAACCTTTAAAATTTTATAAATAAAAATCCTGTTTTATAAAATAGTAGTTTAAAGGTTTTTAGGTATTTTTAAAAAAAATAAATATAAAGGTGGCTTAAAAGGTAGCAGCTTAGTAGGTAAGTAATTTTTTAAAAATTTATATAAAAACTAGGATTACTTACTTTTTTAAAAATTAATAACTTATATAATTAAAGTCTAGGTGGCGGGATTAAATCCTACTAAATAAATATTTTTATTATTAATTTATACTATTATAAAAAAGTCCGTGTTTAAAAAATAACCTAATCTTGTTTAATGGCTAATAATAATAATTTAAGAAAACTAGTTTTTAATCTTAATTTAAAAAAAAAAAAGTTAATTAACTAAGTAAATAGCGTGTAGCTTAGTTAGTTGCTTAGTTTAAAAAAAAAAATTTTATTAGGGGGAAGTGGCTTTTTTACTATTATTAATAAATAACCTTTATAATAAGGTTATAAAGTTATATAACTAGCAAAGTATATAAGTATTAAATATACTTTATTAGGTTTTGCCTAAATTTAAAAAAAAAAACTTTAAATTTTAATAAGCATGCACTTGCCTTTTTTAGGTTTAAAAATTAATTTTAAAACCTTTTAAACCTAGCGTGTTGTTACTAATAAGTAACTTAGTTAATAAGTTTTTAATAATATAAGTAATTATTAAGATTTTACTAAGTATTAACTAGCCGTTAACTTAGCCCAGTAGGTAGGTATTAAAAAATATAACTTTATTAGCTTAATATAATAAATTAATACCTAATACTAATATATACTTTGCTAGTTTTAAAAACAAGCCTAAATTTTATATAACCTGGTAATTAATTAGGGTTTTAGTGCATTTAGTATTTAGGTAAACCTTATTTATTTTTACCTTTAAGTTAATGCCTAACAAGACTATTAAGTATTACCATAATTAATATAAATAATCATGTGTATTAGGCTTAACTAATATTTTTAATTTTATAATAAGTAAAACTTTAGTATTTACTAGTAAAATAACCAAATAATTTTACCCCTTATATATTTTAAGATAGATAAATAAAGTATTTTAAGAGTTAAATTCTTTATTATATTTATAATATATAGCTATTACTATACTAGCTAGCATACGGAGACGTGCACCATAAGTTTCCGCGTGTGGCTGTTCCAGGTCACGTGACTTGTAGCCAATGACGAGCCACGCTCAAAACCACTGGATGACCTGATTGGCTACAAGTCACGTGACTTTTGTGTCACCTATGCGGAAACTTTTGGTGCACGTCTCCGTAGCATGGTTTTTATTAGTATTTAAAAAATTTAAGTTTTTTAAGTTTTCCAAGCTTTTTATTTTAATATATTTTTTTAGGTACTAATTCTTAAATAGCTTTTTAAAATAAGTTATTAATAAAAAAGGTGCTGCTATTAGGTTACTGTAGTAAGCAAATAATAAAGTTAGGGTTTTAGTATAAAAAGCATAAGCTACTATTATAAGTAGCGGTATTTTAATATAAAAAGCATAAAACCTAAAGTTTAAAACTTGGGTATAAAAAGCTCCTATATATAAATTAATATAATATACTTATAATTAAAAAAAAGGGGAAATAGCCTAAATAAAAAAAGTTTTATACTAATTTTAAGGCTATTTACTAGGTCCTTGCTACTAGCATTAATTATTATAGTTTTTTTAATTTTTATTTTTATTATTTTTATTTTTTGCTAAATACTCACGTCTAAATCCCTAAGTAACTTAGTTAAAAATAGGTATATTTTATAATTTTTATTAATAAGCAGGTGGCCGAGGTATTATTTATAGTAATAAAGGTAAAAATTAAAGTAATTAAAGTAGTTAAATATAGTTTAATTATACCTAGTATACTTATATATATAGCTAGGGTTATATTTTTTAAAAATACTAGTTAGCTTAATAAAAACTATAATAAGGTTTTTTGGGTTTTAGCCTATTTTTTTACTTATTATTTTAGGCTTTAATAATGTTTCTTTAAATACTAAATTTAAAGTTAAGGGTTTTTAAGAAATCTACCATAGTTATATAATATATTAATTTATTAATTTTTTAGTATAGCATGCTATTTAATTTACTTTATACTAGGGTTAGTTAATTAAATATATTATTAATATTTACTAATTTTACATTTCTTAAAAATTTTTATATAAATAAATAAGGGGTTTTCCCGGCTTAGATATTTATAAAGCTATAACTTATTTTTTAAAAATAAGTTATTACCTTAACTAGTTAAAGCTTAAATTATTTAATAAGCTTGGTAACCTATTTTTATTTTAAGGGGAAATTTTATAGCTCTTGTTTATTTACTTAAAATAACTTAGTAGTATATTATTTTAAAGTAGCGCCTTTTAAATAACTATAAATATTAATTTTAATAACCGCTTTTTTTTTTAAAAATTACTATATTAAGAATATAGTTTATAAAGATATATATATTTTTATAAAAGGTTTTTAACCCGCGCTTTTTTATTAATAAATTTTTATTATTAATTTTATTAGGCTAAAAGTAGCTAATATCCTTTATTTTTTAATAATATTTTTTTAGTATAGCTTTAGCGGGCTAAGGCTTTTTTTTTAAGGGACTAGTTTTAGTTTATTAGCTAGTAAAATAAATCCACCTTTTCCACGCCCGCGCCCCCTTTTTATATTTTTTTAGTTTTAGTAAAAAAAATTTAATAGTTTTAGTTCTAGATCCTGTCTTTAAGGCGCTTGTGGATATAGCCTTTTAAAATAGGGTTTTAGTTATTAAACTAGGCTTAAAACTTTATATATATTTTTAAGGTTTTATTTATATGTATTCTTTAGTTCCTGTGTCCTATTAATTTAATTATTTTTTTAGAAATTTTTAAAGTTCTTTTTTAAAGATTTTTTAAAGGCGGCTTGCTTATTATTAATAATTTTTAAATAGCTATTTAATTCCTGTTATAAAATTAATTTAAAGTCTTTATTTTATTAAAGACCGGGATTAAAAGGCTAATTTGCCTGTTAAAAACTAGGATTAAGAGGTTTGGGGTTAAAAGATTGCTAATTTACTTATTATAGGCCAGAGTTAAGAGGTTGCTAATTTGCCTATTATAGGCCGGAGTTAAAAGGTTACTAATTTACCTATTATAAGCTAAAGTTAAAAGGTTATTAAGAATCTAAATTTATTTATAAATTTATATTGCGGATTTAAGGACTAACATTAATATTAATATTAATATTAATTATATTATTCTTTTTTATAATTAGTAAGACAAGGGGATGCCTAGGTTTAGTAATTAGCTTTATAAAATACCTAGGTTTAGTAATTAGCTTTATAAAACGCCTAGGTTTAGTAATTAGCTTTATTACTATTTATTTTAAATAATATTATAGGTAATAGCTAGTAATTAGTTAAGTTTATTAGCTTGCTAGTTTATAAGCTATTAAAGTGTTTAGTTATTACTTAATAAGTTTAGTTAAAAATATAAATAAGCTAGTAGTTTATTAAGGGGCAAATAAGCTAGGCTAAAAAATAATAACTAAAAAAGTAAATAAACCTATAAATAGCCCGGAAAATAAAAAAATATCCACGGCAAAGGCAAAAATTAATATAAAATATTTATTAATATTAAAGTTAATTAGCTAGCTAGCTTTATTAGCAAGTGGTTATATAACTATTAAAATTTAATTATTAATTATAAAGGTTTATTCCTGCCTAGTTAGTTTTAAACTAAAGGCTAGTTTTAAACTAATAATATTATTAGTATATATTAGTAAGTTTACCTGTGTATAGCTTAAAGGTTACTTTAGCTTTAATAAAAATAAATTTATAAGCGCGGGGTATATAATTTTTTAAGCTTTTTATTTATTAACTTATGTATTTTCTATTTTTTAACCAAGAGATAGTAAATTTTTTATAACCTAGTAAAAAACTAACTAGTTAATATTCCATGCCGGGGGGTAAGCATACTAAGTAAAAAATAAAATAATTATATAATATATTATAAAGTTAATAAAAAATATTATCTCCTAATTAAACTCTCTCGTGAATTACTATTTAACCTGCTAAAAAACCTTTAACTAGTGGGCTAATATTACCAAGGCATTGTTTTATTTAGTTTAAGCCCCCTTTATATTATCTAGGATTATTAATTAAAAGGCCAAGAAAATAAATCTTTATTAAGGCGTTAAAAGTTAAAGAATTATTAAGAATTAAGGGAATAAATTATTAAGTCCGTTAGTTGGTTGTAAGGTAATAAGGTTCTTAAAAAAAAAGGCTATTGGCCAACTGCTAAATATAAATAAGTTCTAAAAGTTTAAAAGTTTAATAATCTTTTAATAAACAAGTAAAGAATAAAGTTATAAAAAGAATTAAGAAAGTAAATTTATTAAATTTATTAGTTAGTTAGAAGCGGGAAAGAGGTTTTTAAAAAGAAGAATAAAAAACAAATACTAGCTAATTAATATATAAATAATCTTTTAAAGCTTAGGAGTTTGGTTAATTATTTAGCTTAATAAAAGATAACTAAACAAATAAGTAAATAATAATATAAATAAATAGTAGTAAAGGTTTAAAAAAAGTGCTGCCAGGCCTCCCGGGCGCCAAGAATTGCTTAATTAGTGCCTTTTGGCCTAATCTTAATTAAAATGCCTAATTAAAATATTAAGTTATTTACTTAACTGGTTATGTCCTAGGACATGCTACTATTATTATTAGTAGGTAATTTAAAAAAGGATTTATTAATTTATTAATAATTCTCTGAAGGCTAACTACGTTCTTGATGAAGGAAAGGGGTCAGGGCGGTGCCCGACGGCAATATTGGATGCCGTCGGGGTGGCCGACCTTGACAACCTGTAAAACTCTTTATCCATCCCTAAAATATCTAGTTTAATATACTAAGCAATACAAGAGACTTCTACATACAGTAACTATTCATTCCTTTTAGTAGGGCTATCTATCTAGGAAGAGCGCGGAGACGGTCCGACGCTGGCCAGGCCTTTTGTTCTGATCTCCGTTTTGCTTTGCTTTGCTCGGCGGCTTGTGCCCTGTGACTGCCTCCGTGCTTGCCTGCCTCCATGAGGCCAGACTTGATAAAGTAATAATGTAGCACTGCACGGAGTAGTACTCCGTAAGGGCCCAATTTCCCAATTTTTGAGTGTGAACAGTGCACACTACTACCCTGGCCTAGGGTCTTCAAATCCCAAGTAAATGAACACCGAACTCAAAATAAACTTGGGTGCAGCACCCTGGTCCGAGTCGAAAGTCTTGACTCTGGGTTGATTAATTTATATTGCGAGCCCCTGAATAGACCCTGGTCGGCCGTTGTAAGGTCGAGCAACTACTCCGTACATATAGCCCTGGCGACGGCGTGCTCCAGCCTCCGTGGGCGGCACAAGCGCGGTCTAAACTCGCCCAGGCGGTCTCCGAACTGGGGAAGGAGTGCGTGGCTAACGGTCGCGGGGCCATGTTAGACTAGACCAGCGTAACGGCGAGGCTATCTACTGGACTATTGGTCTCTGGAATTGGGATGTGCGAACGACGGTGTCAAACTCAAAGGTAGAGCTCTCCCCAGTCCGTATGTTCTCCATGCTCATCTCCGCGCTCCAAAGCCCCGGGTCTAACGTTGCTCGCGCCGGGACTATTGATCTCCCTCGGACCTTGGGACTGGGTAGGGTTGGCGTCTGGAAGGCCGCAGCCGAAGGAGCCGAGAAAGGAGGATAGTACTCCTGGCGGTTGGGGACTGGTCTGGCCCTGGCCTCGTGGAGTTCGGAACCTGAAGTATACGATTTACGACCTGCGGAGTATGTACGGAGTACGGATGCGAGTACGGATGGTACATCGCTTGAACGGCGTGCTCCGTACATTATGGCATATTGACGAATAACTCCATTATGCCGGCCCCTGGCTGCGCTCCCCGAGTCGGACAGAGTATATGGTGCCAGAGGAGGATTCAGTAGGAAACGATATGAAATGGTTTCAAATAAATGGTTTTGGATTCGTGAAACCGTCCTGATGGGGACAGGATAGGACATTATGGATGTGTGTATATTTTAGATGCCTCAGCTCGCTGGAGACTCCGAGTTGCTACCTACCTTGTCGTTCGAAGTGGCTCCGTTTCGACGCATGGCCACAAGTCTCTCGCGGAGGATTCTCTCTCGTAGCTCGGTGCTGGAGATGCGTGCTGGAGCTCGTGGTCTATGGTTGGTGCGCTATGAACGGTGTTAGCATTGCTCACTAAACCGACTGACCATGTCGGATGACCATGTTTGGACAGGGGTACATGACTGGGATACCTTTCTATATATAAAAATCATTCACCCACCTCTTTAGCAGGACTCTTTAAGTTCTCAGTCTCGGGAGGCGGGGACTTTGACTTGCGGGGCGCAACATCGTCTTGATCAGCCATTCTCTGTCGTTTCCCAGTATGGACGGATACAGAAGAGGTGTTGCGCCGTCGTCGCGCGATGGGAGCATATCTCTGAATGGAGCGGCGTCGCTTTCTGTCTCCGCGGCTGCGGCTGCGGCTACGAGAGTCACGACGTCTCGGGCTAATACTCCTGCTGGAAGAACGCCCCCGGCTCCGGCTCCGGCTACGGCTGCGGCTGCGGCTCTCGCTTCGAGTCGAGTACCGGCGCCTACGGTCCCCGCCGCGATCTCTGCTGCGACTCAAACGGCGATCGTCACGGGTTCTGTGGCCCTTTGCAATATTAGCCGTCAATTCTCTCTTGTCATCTCGTGCATAAGGCGACGATCTGCGCCGGCCGGGCTTCCTGTCGCGGCTCCGCGATCGAGACCTGGATCTTGAGACAGACGGATCCCTTCGCCTGCGTCGGTCTCGGGGTGGGGGCGAGCGCGATGGGCTTGAAGAAACGGATCTTTGCTTTCGGTCTCTTCTGGGAGTACGTGAGCGTGAGGAATCACTGCGGGATTTGGATCTTGCTCGATCACCGTAATCAGGACTGCGTCTCCTCTGCCTCCGGCGGTTTCGGTCGGGTGAAACGGGATCACTAACTGATCGACGACGTCTGTTGCGGTCATGGCGGCGCCTGGGCGGCGGCGGCGATCGGGAAGATGACACAGATCGTGAGCGTGAGCGTGAGCGACTAGGTGACCTAGAAGGCCGACGGCCTCTGCGAGGACCGGAGGGGACGTACGAATCGAACTCTCGCCTCGGAGGCTGGTCCCGAAAGCGCTCACGCCTTGGTGGTGACCGACGTCGCTCAAAGTCCCGGCCAACAAATCCGCCTCTTCTTCCACCCCTGCCTCTGTCTGAGCGTTCTCTGCGTCTTATCTCCTCGATCTCCCGTTCCCGCGTGCGCTCCTGCTCCTTCTTCTTCCGAGCCTCTTCCGCTGCCTTTTCTGCTTCAATCTGCCGGATGAAAGTAAGCAAGAGACAGTATCGTTCGGTAAGGTAGGCACACCTTCTCTTGAATAAGCTCCAGCTTCTTCGCCTCTAGAAGCTCCTTGGCGACACCCTGAGGATTCTGCTGCGCGCTTAAGCACAACGACCATAGTTCCTTGCAAAATTTGGCAGTATCTTTGTCCAGGAATCCCGTAAGCTGGATTTGTAGCGATTTGATATCGGGCTAGATGAGGCGCAACTGTCAGCGGGTTTCATGAATTAGGACCGCGGAAAGTAGACTCGAGACATACAAACCGAGAACCTTCCAACAGGTTGAAACATAGCTCGATCACGACATCATCTTCATTTCCTAGAATTTCAGAGATCTTTCCCGCAATCCACCTGACGGAAAAGAGAGACTCGATTAGCAAACGGACATTTCTTCAGCGAAACCAGGCGAGGCTTCCGCGAGACTCACTTTTTCATGACCTCGATGTTCACCTTGGTCATATCCACCTTTTGGTTGAATTCTGGCGGGAATTTAGTCTGCCGTAACAGCTTCGCATCGACACGGGTCGCCATCTTGACGTATGAATTCTGAGAGGCGTGGTTGAGTTACGGAGGTGTAAATCGAGGGCGAGACACTGCAATGTGAAGAGTTGCGCTGCTGGTCCGTGCTGCTCGCTGCATCGGAGGCCGGAGCATGGTTCGACCGACGGGCCTCAATATGTCCTAATTAGGAAATAGAAGTTTGCGTCGTTAGAGGTCATTTAATTAATCATCAGAAGCTCGCTGTGAAGAAACATAATACACAGTAGCAGCTCTAGCTGCCAACTTGCTCACAGAAGATCAACTCGACGAGGTGGCTGCCAGTTCTCGCAGCACCCGGTTTACTTCCTCCCTTCCACGGCGCAGCTGATCATCTACTCTACCATCCTTGTGGATTGCCTTCATCTCATAGTGCAGCTCTACGAGCTCAGATGCAGCGCGGAGCTGGTCGTTCGTCGCCTCTGCCCGTATAGGGTTCGGCGTTGCCTCCGAAGGTGTTAGCCTTTCGTTCACAGTGACAAGGTTGAGCGCATCGTTATAGTCCTGTCGAGACAAGATCAGCGTTGCCCTTGGAACGAATATTTACTCAGGAAGTCGGCTTGGTGCACCCTGGGTGGTAAACATACACAAGCACGGAGGGATGTTAGATCAGACAAGATCTCTGCGACTTTCATGATGCTCGGAGTTCAGCTGCTTCTCCAACTCTATGGAGATTGGAGTCTCTGCGATAGATCCCCACAATACACTCGGATCTTTATCCGGCGTCTTTGCGCAACCGGGTCGATTGCTGTGATCGTTGAGATGAGGCCTGGAAGTCTTGAGAGTTTATGCAAATGCCAGAGAGTACATTTGACCTAGGATGCGATCATTTAATGGCCAAGGATCTTTATGAAGAGTCCATCGATGATAAGATAATGCACTGATGTGGTCATAGTGAGGATGGAGTGTTGGAGAAGGATAACTCCGAATGTCGCTCGGCTCTTCCGTGTTCCCCACAATCTTCGGCCAGCCTTCCGCTATATCGCCTTATATACGCGCTGGAATCTTCCCTCAAATATTCCAATTTAGTCACACCCCTCCTCTTACACACACATTCAGCATAATGGCAGCTTCAATAAGAAACAATTGCCGCAAGGTCATCTGCATCGGCCGCAACTATGCGTGCGCATAAGCCCTTCCAGTCCGCACCCTCGGCCCAAACTAACCCCGAGATCGCAGCGACCACATCACGGAGCTTAACAACACCAAGCCAAAGCAGCCCTTCTTCTTCCTGAAGCCGACCTCCTCGATCCTTTGCCCCGGCGAGGGCCCCGTTCTGCGCCCCAAGGGGACAAACCTACACTATGAGGTGGAGCTGGCTCTGGTAATGGGCAAGCGAGTCCGCGACCTCGACCCCAACGATGACAAGGGCGCGCTGGACGCTATCCACAGTCAGTCGCGCGCACCCCTTGTGATGATTACTGCGGCTAATTGGTTTTTGCTATGCACTAGGCTACCTCCTCGCCATCGACATGACCGCGCGCAACGTCCAAGACGAAGCAAAGAAGAAGGGCCTCCCCTGGACCATCGCGAAGGGTTTCGACACCTTCCTCCCCGTCTCGCAGGAAATCCTGAAGTCGCAGATCCCCGACCCGCACAATGCGTTCCTCCGGCTAAGCGTGAACAACCAGCAGCGCCAGGCTGATTCCTCGGGGCTGATGCTGTACCGCATCCCGCGGTTGCTGGCGGAGATCTCGCGCGTGATGACGCTGGAGAAGGGCGATCTGGTGCTGACGGGAACGCCGAAGGGTGTTGGGGAGGTGAAGAGCGGCGACGTGATGAAGGCGTCGATCGAGGTTGATGGGAAGGAGATCGAGGAGGGAAGGATTGAGGTTGAGGTGCAGGATCGCGAGGGCAGGTATGAATACCGGGAGACTTAGAGGCTGAGATGTACATATGTTTGTGAGTGATACAGTGCACATATATTGAATGAATAGATTTCTTGATCCAATATTGCTAGCTTCGCATCTGGATCAGCAAATGGGGTATGTATCGTTCGCGCTCTCTATCTACAATGCTTCTATGCGAGCCATTCAGAATCATGTCATGAGCTGCTCGTCTTCCTCGTCAACCGGAACAATAGGTATAGATCGTCTCGGCCTATTCTCCTTGCGAAAGCCAAACGGTCCACGACCCAAGCCCTCAGAGTCTCGTTTCACCGGAGTGCGCATCACATCCTCATCGACCTGTTCCTCATCCTTCTGGTCCTGCCCGAGTTTGGCGATTTCAGCCTCCATAAATGACAACACATTGCTCCATGAAACCCCAGCGCGACGGGTATGCTCCTTTAAGCGCTTCTTCAGACCCTCATCCTTCAACCCAGCCATGAAAGCGGGGATATAAGTCCCATCCGGTATCGTGAAACGGGGTCGTTTCCTAAGAGAAACCGCATATTGAAGGTACGCGCCCAGCGACCGACCATCCTGGATAAGCGATGCGAGTGTTTCCTGCACGTCAAGGACTTTTTTCGAAGGACTAGCAGTGACACCGCCTCGCTTGGGGGTACAAGATGCGTCAAGATCGGTCAGTGAGCCCCAGGTCGTTTCTGACGTAGTCCGGTCTAAGGCTTTGTCCCGAGTTGAGTGGCGCGATGCTGGGGTTGGCATTGAATCCGGGATGCGCATTTCTTGGTCACCGTCCTGGTCAGTTTGGGTTCGGACTAGCCGTGGTTTTGTGCTTGTTGCTGCTCGTTGTGAGTAGGGTTAGTAGATGCCTGTTCACCTGAGTACGACAAGATCAAAGTCTTACCTCTAGAATCTCTATCCGCAGCCAAGGTCTTCATAGACATCCAGTTCTGGGACTTAGCCGCCTGCTTCTCCAGCAGAGAAACCCCGTTTTCAAGCAGGCGGACCCGTCCCGTCAAGTCACCATTCTCACACTGAGTCCTTTCAAGTGTCTGCGCGAGACCCGTGAGATCCTGCTTCAATTGCGCTTTCTCCGTCTCCAAGACATCGCATTTCCCAGCAATTTCGCCAATCTGCACCTTCAGCTCCGCATTCTCAGTTCGAGTCTGGTCGAATTGCTGAAGGACATCCATGACTTTCGTGTTCAGCGGCACATTCGTCTGCTCGGAGAGGCCGAAGTTCTCATCAGCCCGAGTAATCTCTTGCTTCAGCGCAGCGTTCTCCTTCTCAAGCGCGCCGAGCCTCTGACGGGTTTCACCGATCCCAACTCTCAACGTCCCATTCTCGGCTTGTAGCGCATTGATCTTGTCGGACGTCTCAGTGACGGTAGCCGTCAATTCGCGATTTGCCTGTTCAAGTTTGCGAACCTGCTCGATGATTTCCTCGTAACGCTCGTCGTTGTCTTCCCCGCTATCTCTCCCGCTATGCGCCTCTAGGGCCCCGATCTTGGCGTCGGACTCGCGAATGTTTGTAATGAGTTGTTCCTTATCTAGCTTTTGTTGTTTCTCTAGCTGCTCGATGTGCTCAGCCTGAAGGTCAATGCTCTGTCTAAGGTGATCAATAGTGGCCATGGCCGAGGTGAGGAAGGAATTGAGTTCGTTCATTTTCTTGTTGAGTTGAATGTTTTCTTGGCGGAGTTGAGTGGCCCAGAGGAGAGAGGAAGGGGAATCAACGGCAGGATCCATGTTAAAGGTCAGAATCAGAGGTATTTTCGGGAATCAGTGACTGCAGGGAGACCTAGGTGGGGAAGGTCCCAGTGAATGCTGTGTTTGCAGTTGTGTTTGTTGAGGTGGGAAGTTGCGTCTCTGTAGGCATGGCTGAGCGGTTGGGTTAATCTAGTGACAGGTCGCGGGTGGAGGATTGGGTTGATATGCGGGGACGAGGAAGGGCAATCCTGCAAGCCCAGAAGCTCTTGTACGAGATCTACTTGGCCTGTCCTACAGATATAGTGAGGTGCCAGGTGCTAGAACTTAACCAAACGGAATGGCATTTACCTCTTGTCTATTGTGCTCCATACTTTAAGAAACCATCCCAGATCCATACACGTATCGGGTATTCATCCTCCCAATCACTCGGAGGACAAACACCTCCATGAGCAATACAATGTTTTTGCTCGCTTTCGGTCGAGCAGCATAGGAAAAGGGACGAAGGAAAAGAGGTTGAAAGAAATCCCAGAAGAGACAATCATGAATTACAGCATAAAAAATCGCACAAACATGTCGCATCTCCATAAGCATAGCAGAAACAAAGGAAACCATGAAACAGTAGTCGACTGTCGCCGCTACTGCTAACACATAAAATGCTGGAGACACAGAAAGCCACTTTTAAGGGATCCTCCTTTACCAAGAGAAGCTGCAACGATCAAAAACAAGTCTTTTTCCCACCGCAACTCGCCCTTGGAGCGGCAATCGTAACCCGCATCGAAGACATTAGGTGGCTCGGAAAATCAGGGAGTTTAGATGAGGTCAGCAACGTTCATGGGCATCTCCTCGATCTGGGTGCTGTAGAACTGCTCAATCTCGCGCATCATACGGACATCGTCGGCGGTGACGAAGTTGATGGCAACACCCTTACGACCGAAACGACCACCACGACCGATACGGTGAATGTAGTTCTCACGGTTGGCGGGGAGATCGTAGTTGATGACCAGGGAAACCTGCTGGACATCGATACCACGGGCCAGAAGGTCAGTGGCAATGAGGACACGGGAAGAGCCGGAGCGGAACTCCTTCATGATAACATCACGTTGGCCCTGCTCCATGTCACCGTGCATGGCGGAGACAGTGAAGTCACGAGCAGTGAGCTTGTCGGTGAGCCAGTCGACCTTGCGGCGGGTGTTACAGAAGATGACGGCCTGGGTGATGGTGACAGTCTCGTAGAGATCGGAGAGGGTGTCGAGCTTCCACTCCTCCTTCTCAACAGCAATGTAGAACTGCTTGATACCTTCGAGGGTAAGTTCCTGCTTCTTGACCAGGATACGGACTGGGTCACGCATGAACTTGGTGGTGACCTCGAGGACGTCCTGGGGCATGGTGGCGGAGAGCAGGACAACCTGGGTGGACTGGGGAAGGAGCTGGAAGATGTCGTAGATTTGCTCGGTGAAACCACGCTGCATAGGTCAGTATTTATCGCTCACGGCTAGGAGTCAGGCAACATACAGAAAGCATCTCATCGGCCTCGTCGAGGATGAACATCTTCATCTGGTCGGTCTTGAGGACACGACGCTGGATCATGTCGTGGATACGGCCGGGGGTACCGACAACGATCTGGGGGCCCTCACGGAGAGCGTTCATGTCGTCACGGACAGCGGTACCACCAATGCAGGCGTGGCACTGGATGTTCATGAAGTCACCAATGGCGATGACGACCTTCTGGATCTGCTGGGCCAATTCACGGGTAGGAGCGACAATCAGAGCCTGGCAAGCCTTGACGTTGGGGTCGAGCTTCTGCAGAGCGGAGATGGAGAAAGTAGCGGTCTTTCCAGTACCGGACTGGGCCTGAGCGATGACATCGTTGCCTGAAGCAAGTTATTAGCGCTGTGTTGAGCCACTTTGCGCTGATTTCTGGACTTACCCTTGACGATGGGCAGGATGGCACGCTGCTGGATAGCAGAGGGACGCTCGAAACCGTAGGCGTAGACACCTGGAAGCCGAAAACTGTCAGAAAATCTCCCCACTTTCTTATATTGGGGAACATCAGCACGTACCGCGAAGCAGCTCGGGCTTCAACTCCATGGAGTCGAAAGAGTCGGTGATCTCATCGTAGTTGGACTCGATCTGGCCTGAAGAGAGTTGTTAGCGTAAACCGCTGCCTTCACCGTTTAACCGCCGTGGGTAGTGCAAGAATTTTCTGTCCCGCTGCCCTTCCAGATCACGAAGAAAATCCTTGCCATAACACGAGACGAAACGGAGGGTGATGTAGAACATACTGTCGGGGATCTCCTCGAGACCCTTGTCGTTGGAAGCCATATTTGCGGTTGGTATAGGGGTGATCACAGCAACGGACTGTGATCGAACGAAGACGGTGGGGGTTTGGGAGTTGAAGGGTTTGTTCCTTAGCGACGAAGCGGCCCGGTGGGGTTTTGCTGTCGCTGAAAATCTCAGTCAAAAAGACTCGTCGGATGAGCGTTGATGACTAGAACCACAGGCCTCCGGAATAGAGACTGACAGGAACTAGTAGTAATGATAGATGTTGTAAAAGTTAAGACTTGAGAAGTGGGAGAAGAGAGAAAAAAAGTTGGAAGAAGTGGTGGATCTTCTGGTGGTGGGAAAAATCGATTATTCTGGATGGGGGAAAGCGAACTTTTCTCTGCTCGCAAATCTTACTGGCTGTGACGGCCAAGCGTCGGTCTTGTATGGCTAAATTACCCTTGCCGCCTGAACTTTCGTACGATTTTTCTGCCCAACAAGCCACAACCGCCTTCCCCTTTTAGTCATGCCCACCTTCTTTTCTACGCAGAATATAGAATTTCTGGAGAGTTGACTTTTGGGTTGTTTGAACTAGATTTGCTTGAGCCGCCCATTGGATGGCCGTTATTTCGCCTCTTGAGTCACCCTGTTCTTATCGTTGACTCATCGGGCAACATTTGCCGCTGAGACGCTTACAAACGGGCAAACATCCGACACTTGAAGCGAAATGCCAGACATAACCACCCTGGATAGTCATCGCGATACAGTCGACGAGTCAGCCGCACGTGATGCGATCCCAGGACACCCTTTAGGCGTTAAGCCCAGTGGCAATGCCCTCTTCGCCGCTGAGAACCTGCGAAGCGCGATTGGCACGCTCGGCTTGGTACCCGACGAGCTGATCCTGATACTATTGGAGTTCCTGGACTGCCGCAGCCTCCTGCAGTTGGGCCAGACATGCAAGGCATTCGCTGCCTTTACCAGGACAGAGGATCTATGGAAGACGCTCTTCATCCGGTAAGCATGGCTAGCTTTGAGTTCGGAGCTACATATTGCATGGCATTGAACTGTAATCGCTAAAGTTTGCTAGGTCTCCTCCTGCAATGTTTACTTGGAGAGGAACATGGCGTGCCACGTACCTGAACTTACCGCAGTCCAAAGTCGCTTCCCTAGACTGCTCGAGCCTGTTCTCAGACGCCCTACACCGCCCATTCTACTGCGCGCACATTTCGCTGGAGCCATTTGCATCCAACATTCCAGCTCGGAACCAAATCACCCGGCTACCAAACCTATCTGCGGAAGAATTCCAGGAGGAATGGTCTGATACTCCCTTTATCTTGACGGAGCCTGTGAAGGAATGGCCTGTATACCATCAATGGTCGGTCGAGACACTACTGCCAAAGCATGGAGAGACCCTCTTCCGAGCAGAGGCAGTCGACTGGCCTTTTCGGACATACGTGGATTACATGAAGAACAACTCGGACGAAAGCCCTCTATATCTCTTTGACAAGGAATTTGTCTCCAAGATGGGTCTTAAGGTCGGCCCGCCAAACGAGGAACCAGGGACGGCTTACTGGCCACCACCGTGCTTCGGCGAGGACTTCTTTTCGGTGTTGGGCAATGATAGACCGGACAGACAATGGCTTATTATCGGACCTAAACGTTCCGGAAGTACTTTCCACAAGGATCCCAATGCGACCAGCGCGTGGAACGCGGTCATCCGTGGCTCCAAGTACTGGATCATGTTCCCATCGTCATCAAAGCTCCCTCCCCCGCCCGGCGTCTACGTCTCGGAGGACCAAAGCGAAGTGACCTCTCCATTGAGTATCGCGGAGTGGCTGCTGGGTTTCCATGCCGAGGCTCGCCGTACACAAGGCTGCATTGAGGGAATCTGCGCGGAAGGAGAGATCCTCCATGTACCCTCTGGATGGTGGCATCTGGTTGTCAATCTGGAACCTGCCATCGCGCTTACGCAGAACTTCATTCCACGTGCACACTTGACTGCCGCTCTGGACTTCCTTTCCAACAAAGCAGACCAGGTCTCCGGGTTCCGGAAGGACGTGAGCAACCCATACGAACGTTTCGTGGCCAAAATGCAAGCATCCCACCCAGAATCACTCCAAAGTGCTCTAGATGAGCTAAAGAAGAAGGCCGAGGGCAGAAAGCGCAAATGGGACGAGATTGTCCACGGGAAACCGGACACAAATGATGCTAACACTGAGTCCGGGACCGGTGGATTCAGCTTCGGATTTGGTGGCGATGATAGTGACGCAGAAATTCCATGAACGAAGTCTTCGGATTATCAATGCAGTGCTATCTACGCTTGCGTCCGCGTACTTGCGTCCGCGTACAGAAATGTCGGAACCAGAAAGCATCCCATGCAGAGGTATCAATGACAAGCAACCGACTTCGTCGCAGACATGTTCTCCCCAAAGGCCAGATAACCGACGAACGCCCCAGCAGCGACGGCAAGCATAACGAAACCATTATAAGTCATAAACAGAAGCCTACACGGTTAAGCGGGCGGTCAAAGAGATGAGAGGTGACGCGAACTTACATGATGAAGAAGCTATAAAACACCTGCACGCCATAGAGCGCAGCCATGGTGATCTTTCCCCTCCGCTCGACAGCCCTCCTGTTATCACTACCTACAAGTAGCGGTGAGCTTGAGTTGGGGAGAAATGCTTCGTCATGAAATTCAGGTCCAGGTTCAGTGTGCGTGACAACTTCATCGGCGATCTCATTGCCTTCAAGACCGGTCAATGGCACTCCCACTCTGGAGACAGACACTGGGGCCAGAGATTCAATCCACCGACATATAAGACACATATAGAACATATAATACCCATAGTGGAATAGAAATATATAAGAAGGGTGAACTTACTACCAACCACAGCCGCAGAAAACGCGCTCAGTCGTCGCGCATGTGCTACTTCGTACCGCCGTGTAACTTGTCTAACACCCTCGTACCCTGCCGCCAAGAGCACAATGACAACCAGAGAACCGAGGAGAGAGAGAGGTCCTGTTACACGCCATGTCGAGAAGACAATGCAGAGGTTCTTGGTGGACCAGGTGAAGAGCATCTGCAGGTGCTGTCAGGATCGTGCTAGTAAACAGATGCACCTTTTCGGCGGCCGAACCCAATCGCCAAGAATCAGTTGGGCTTATGGATATATAAACTCACGTTCATGCTACACTGATCTCCTCCCATATCCATATCGCCGTGCCCGTGATGGCCGTGGTCCATATCCATATCCATATGGTGCATCTCCATCGTTACTGATAGTAGGGGGAGCCGCGGGTTGTCGATGAGCGTCGGAAACAGGTATCCGCGAAATAGGCTCAAGATCAAATATCAATAGGTTATGAATAGAGCCAGCGCCAGATGCAAATCAGTCAACGAAATCCAATTTGGTGAGACAGAATGAAAGAGCAAGGGAGATGAGCGAGTTGTGTACGGAGGACTAAATCGACAAACACGCAAAAACTCCGCTTTATGTAAATATTATATACCGCTTTGCTTACCGCTTTTTATCTACCCCTTAAAAAAAAATTTTACCTTTAGTATAGCTAGGTTATTATATAATTTTTAAAGCCTTTATAATAGGTCGGCCACCTATTAATCTTAATCCTTATTAAAAAGAAATTAAAGATTTTTTTATAACTAATTTTTATATTAATAATATTACTTTGTACCTAAAGCACAAGCACTATTTTAAAGTTAGTAAGTATATAATTTAAATATACCTTTATAACTAGGGTATTAAATAAAATATATTTTTAAGTAATATTATATTTTTAAATAATAACTTAGCCCTTTATACTTAAATTAAAGTTTTAATATATTAGGTTAGCCTTAGTAAAGTTAATATTTTTAAGGTTTTATATTTTAAAGGGTTTAAGATTTAGACTTATATACTAAAATATATTTATATAAAGCTTAAAATACTGTATTAAACCTAAAATTTAATTTTTAATAAAAAAAAAATAAATAAGGTTATAAAAACTTTTTATATAAAGCTTAAATCTAGTTAAATTAAAGGTTATAAATAAAGCATGCTAGTAAGTTATTTTTAAAGCAAGGGATTATTAATTAAAAGGTGCGGGTAATTTAAAATATATATTACTTTTATAACTTTTTTTTACCACTAACTTTATATAAAAATTAGCTTTTTTTAATATATAAAGAACTAGCACCTAAGGCTATATAAAAATACTTATATAACTTTTAGTATTACTAGGGTGCTTATATTATATCTAGGCTAAATTTTATTTAATTTATTAATAGCTATTTTAAGCTAGCTTTATATAGTATTAAGATTTATATAGTTATTAATACCTATTTTTAATATATTATTTAAATTTATATAGGTATTAGCTTTTATATAGCTGTAAGTATACTTAAGTAGTTCCTAAATATATTTAAAGTTACTTTAAGGTAGCCTTGCTTTATATAATTTAATTAAAAGGGGGAAATAGTTTTTTTAACTAAGGCCTAGTATAAGCTTTAGTAATTATATTATTTTAAAATTTTTATTAAAAATTATTATTTATATAAAACTAGTACTGCAAACCAGTAAATTAAGGCTTAGTAGGGGTAATTAACTAAAGGTTTACTTTTTTAATATTAAGTAAGTTTTTATATGGTAACTTTAATCTTATACTAATTATATTAATAGGCATACTTTTAAACCCTTATATAAAATAAGCACTTTTTTAAAAATATTTTAGCTAATTAAATTACTTTATACGTAATTTACATGCCTATTATTTTAATTTAGATTATATTTTTTATATAAACCTGGAATAACCACCCTATTTATAGGTAATAAAACTAGCTATACCTTATTACTAGCAAGCCTTTTATAAACTATTACTACCTAGTAGCTAGTATATAAAACTATGGTATTAAGTTTAATTTAAAGCTTTTTAAGTTATTATAAAAAAATATACAGGCCTGGGGTAAATATTATTTTAAATATAATTTAATTTTAACTAATTTTTATATACTAGATTTTAATAAGTATTTACTAGCTAAAACTTATACTTGGACTTGTACAAAGCTTTTAAAACTTAGCTTTAATTTTAAAAGCCCTTTAAAAAGTACTAGAAATAATAATAATTACTTATTTATTTTTTTTTATATAGTGTACCTTGCCCTTTAAACTAAGCTTAAAGCTTATATTAAAAATAAGCTTAAACCTAAGCTTAAGCTTTTAAAAAAGCCTATTAATATATTTAACTAGGATTTATAGTTTATTTTAAATAAAATAAAAAAGGTGGAGTATAATAAAAAACCTGGTAAAAATAATAATATACTTGCTTAACTTAGTTAACCTTATTTATAGGTTATTATATAAAAACGCAAAAACTTATTTTATTTTAATAAAAAAAACCTTTTTATACATAACCTTTTAAAATACTTTTATTAAAATTTTACCCTATAACTAGACGGCCTTATAATAATATATTAGGTTATAAATTATACCTTACTTATAATAAGCCTTTACCCCCTTTATAATTTTATATAAACCCTTAATATTATATAAACCCCTAGCCTTATACAGGGAACCCGGCTCCCCCTAGTAAAAAGGTTATTTTAATTAAAAATAATAATAATATACCTCCTGCCTTTTTTTAAAAAGCCCTTTAGGTCTTTGCCCTTGCTTTTTTATCACTAAAAAAAAATTTTTTTAAATACTTTTAGTATTTTAACTATATAAAAAAAGCGGAGGATTACTAACAAAAGTTTATTACTTATATAACTTAAATTTTAATACAAGAAACTTCTTGCAAGGTTAAATTTTACCTTTTTATATAAAAAAAAATTTATAAAATTTGGAAGCCTTTATCCTGTAATTTTATTAGTATATTAAATTAACCTTTTAAGGTTTAATCTTATTAATTTAATTAACTACTTTTTTTAAATATTTACTTTATATAAATCTATCCTTATATAGTTATTTTATATAAGAACTTTATTAAGGCCTACTTAATCCAGGAAATAAAAAAAAACATGTATAAACTTTAAAATAAAAATAACCTATGCCTTACTACTGTAATTTAATTCTAGCTATACCTAGTCTACCTTTAATAATTAAATAATAAAATATAAAAAATAATTATTATTTTTAATTAATACAAGGTTCCAGGCAAGAAGAATTATTTAATTTATATAATTATTATAAAAAATATTATTAAGTTTATACCAAAGCTAGATTAAATACCCCCTAGAAGGTTTGCTAAAAAAAAGATAGCTATATAAAAGCTAAAAATTAAGGTAAAATTAGTTATATAAAAACTAAAGGTTAAGGTAAAGCCTAAGCCTAAAAAAAAGGTAGTTATATAAAAGCTATAAATTAAGGTAAAATTAGCTTTTATACAAGGCCTTAAGATTAAAGGAAAACTAGCTTTTAAAAAGTATTTAATCTTTGTGAGGCGCTTTTGTATACTGCGCTGAGCTTAGGAGAACGTGAATTACCGCAATAGGAAAGCGTTGTATATTTATAGTAGGAACTAATTACTAATTCTTTAAGTTAAAGTTTTAAGTTAAACTTAGTGTTTTATATATTATATAACTAACTGCCGCCTTAGCACGCGGTTAAATTAACACCAAAGTTCCTTTATTAGGTGGCCTTAGGCCGCCGGATTATATTATTATAATATTATATAGTTATAATACTATAATAGTAATAATAGTGCTTTTTTTTTTTAAGTAATTGCACCCTTGCAATTTATAAATTTATATTTTTTTTTTATAAAAAGTAATTTAAATTATAAATTTTATTAAGCGCTATAAAATAAGTTATTTTTAGGTTTATAAAGTGTTATAATTCGCGTGTAATTTATGTTTAAAGTTAAGGGTAAAAAATTAATTTAATTATTTTATTTTATTACTAGATTTAAATATAATGTTGCTGCCTGCGGTGGCTAAGTGTAGTATTTTAGTTTTAATACTAAAGCGCCCTTGCAATCTTTCTCTCTTTTTTTTTTTTTAAATTTTTTTAACTTTTAAAGCAAGATAGCACCTATAAGTATACACCTTTTTTATTATATTTTTATTACTTTTTAATTATTTAATTATATTTTTAAAGTTAAAATACCCTATATTTACCCTTTTTTATGCTTTTTAAGCGCGGTGTTGTTTATTTTAATAATATTAGTTATATATTAGTATTATTAGGCCTGTATATTTTATTTTACTTTATACTTAATTTTTATAATAAGGCTTTAAGTTTTAAATAGCTAAATCTTCTTATTTTTACACTTTTTTTAATACTTTTAG